CTGTGTTATTTCCTTAGAAATTATATAATTATTGAAGTTTTTAATTCAAAAAAGTAAAATATAATCTTTGGTTATTGAAATTCCCATCTTTTAAACAGAGTTTGAAGAAAAAAATGTCTGTCTGATACGTATTGGAAGATACTTTTCGATACCATATTTTTTCTTGAATATCGACACATATCGATATATCGATATATTGATACAGCATGTACACAATCTGCATGTACACAATGTTGTACATGTAACATGATGATTTACTTGTACATATATAACCTATTTGAATAATAACAATGATTTTCTATAATTTTATGACTTTTTATGATAGAATGAGATCATTAATTTTCATAGTGTTCATTTTTATAAATGTATGTGTTCCAACTCTTCTGGCCTATAAGCATCTGCATGCTAATAGGAGAACTCAGGTCTATAAATGGTTATCATAAAAAATGGACATGCATTACTCATTTACATAAATTGTCTCATCTTATACAGTATCTAAACTTTACCATTTATCACACCAATGTTTCCTCAGCCCTGCCATCACAGCTTGAGATCAGTTTCGAATAACAAAGCTCTTTGTTTTCTCGAATATTCGCATTAACATTGATGACATTCGCACAACCATAAAATATTCCATGCCGCTTGCATCCACAGACTCGAATTTCTTTCAATTTCATTGAGAATGTGTTGTATTACAGCCACGAGATACAAAACTTCTCCTCGTTTCCAATGACGCATGGAAGCCGCCATTGCAACTTGGTGTAAACTACGCTTGAAAAAATAATCCGGATTTAATTGGATTGAAAAAATTAAACCGTTACTTGCCGTTATCAAAAATAAATAGATCTATTGTTATTTCCCTTTATTTACATTATTGAACTGATACACAACATTCAGTTTGAATTTTTTGAAAACCGAATTACTCGCGCAACCCAATTTTCCAAATTTTGGAAAAAGTTTGGAAAGCCTGTGGCAGTGGCGTTATTCGTAGGGAAAGTAGTCCCGGAGAATCGACACTGTATGGAGTTTGCACGCATGCGTATTATCGGCAAATTCAGCGTGTTCCGCCTACTTGGAGAAGTTAGGTCTATGGAAAAATCGAGCGACATAATACGATTTTAATTTCATTTAAGTTTTAAGAGTTTGCATTACGAACGGTGGGTATTAGTGGTGCTGTTTGTAAAGTTTAAAACAACATGGAATATGACGTGTTTTAGCTAACATATTAATTCTTGGTAGATAATCATTAGATTCCTTTTTGAGATGACATCACGTGAACGGTAATGGCGGATTGGAATGTTGTATCGAGAAACCACAGGAGTCGGCAATTTTATCAATAAATAGAAAATAAATGGTAAACAGGCATAAATCCTACCAGTGAGCTTCGCGAGCGAAGCGACAGGATGGCAACGAGTTCTAAATCGCTGTCCAGCCAACATCAAACTCCACAAATCAACTTCGGAGTGTCCAGTAAGTAATTCCTAACATTTTTTATCATTCAACTACCCTTAATTATCTCCATAACCACACTTTTTCACATCTCGTTTACAACCAGCGGCCATTGACAATCTGCGTGACGTCACAACCTCTGCAGCAAAAAAAATTTTTTTACCAATGGATTAAGTTTTTATTTATTTTTTAATGTTTATATAACTCAAAAAACATTTACTAACTCTATCCCTTAATAGAAATTGGAATGTGTTTATTCAAAAAGAAAGGGAGATAATCGTCTACTTTCGTTTGTGGGAAATATAAAAACAGAGAGTGACAGTCTTTTTTTATTAGTGATTCAAGACAATTGAAGATGTCCAGCAACTTTGGAGCTTCTGTTCAGTAAGTGGATTTTTAAAAATCAATTACTAATGCCGAAAACACAATAAAAGAGACCCAAAATGATTATTTATTATTTGCTGCAGTGGTTGTGACGTCACGCAGATTGTCAATGGCCGCTGGTTGTAATTTTATTAACGAGATGTGAAAAAGTGTGGTTATGGAGATAATTAAGGGTAGTTGAATGATAAAAAATGTTAGGAATTACTTACTGGACACTCCGAAGTTGATTTGTGGAGTTTGATGTTGGCTGGACAGCGATTTAGAGAGAATCGAGAAAACTCGCTGCCATCCTGTCGCTACGCTCGCGAAGCTCACTGGTAGGATTTATGCCTGTTTACCATTTATTTTCTATTTATTGATAAAATTGCCGACTCCTGTGGAGAAACATATATACACCTATGTAATAAATTATTTTTAATGGCTAATATGTTTTACGGTGTGACCGTTGGGGCGAGCGCAATTTATTTAAGGAATGAAGCTTATTTCAACTTATGTTATCCGACATAACATAACTTGGGGCAGTTTACGCTTTATAAACCGCGAAGCGGTTTATAAAAAAGCACCCTTTTAATTTCAAGTAGACTGCAAAAGACCAAAGTAGGGACATAAGTTAATAATAATAAAAAGGTGGATGTCACTATAGGGGTCTATTTGTAGAAAGCAAAAATAACACAATACACAAAACAGTAAAAAGACAATGGCTTTATAGAAAATTTTGATAGAGAAATTTTTTTTTGGAATTATCCTAGTTCTGTTTTTTTTTTAAAAAACCCAATTTTTTAATATTTTTTGAGTAGAATTGACAAGTTGTTCTAAATGTATTTAATTGAATAATGACTGAATTTGTATTTTTCATTTAAATACATATAAACATTTAAATACATGTACAATTAACTTAACCGAGACACGCCGCACGCCGTCAATTCAGCAAAATTCCCCCCATGCATCAAAAATTTTCTGGGGAAAACACTGCTTGAAATGTGATGAAATATCTCGAATTATCTCTGAGGAAATGATAGCCTTGATCGGTAGGAGTTCAAGTCGGTACTTGGTGAAATGGCACTTACCGAAAACGGCACATAGTATGCAAATCGGCACTTAGTCAAAACTGCAGTTGTGACTTGAATAGAATTTTAGTGAAATCACTACATTGTGACCGTGTAATAAGAATGGTACTTAGCAGAACGTGAAATATTTTGCTTAATGATTAAGTTAATCTGAAATTATTACAAGCTTACAAAACAAATATAAAGTAATTCCTAATTCTGAAAAGATCACATAAGTCTTTCTTTGAAATATATGTATACATGGACTTGTATTCTATCTGTTTTCGTCCGTCGTCGTGTGTTGTGTGTTGTGCGTTAACATTTGAACATTTTCATCTTCTTCTCTGCAACCACTGAACCAATTTCAACCAAATTTGGCACAAAGCATCTATGGGTGAAGGGGAACAAAAATTGTGAATTTCAGGGTCCATGCCCCCTGGGGCCTGGGGGATGTGGCAAAAACCAATAAAATTAATGCAATCTTTAAAAATCTTCTTCTTTACTCCTGGACATCAAGCAGTCAAACTGTTTGCATGATTGTAATCAGCATTGAGTCCTCTACCAAAATTGTGAAAGTCATGGCCCCTGGGTTAGGGGTTCTAGTGCTAGGGCGGGGCTAAATAAGTATATAGTGAAAATGCATTATTTCTTTTAAAATCTTCTTCTCTGCTACTGGGTATTAAATAAACCAACTAACTACATAGTTATGATGAGCAAGAGTGCTTCTATCAAAATTGTGAATTTTATGGCCCTAGGTTCAGGGGTTCTGGTGTCAGGGTGGGGCTCTATAGATTACATAATGAAAATACATGAATTCTTTAAAAATCTTCTCCTCTGCTCCTGGGTATTAAATAAACTAAGTGCATAGTTATGATTAGCAATAGTGCTTCTACCAAAATTGTGAATTTTATGGCCCCAGGGTCAGGGGTTCTGGTGTAAGGGTGGGGCTCTAAAGATTATATAGTAAAAATACATGAATTCTTTGGAAATCTTCTTCTCTGCTCCTGGGTATTAAATAAGCTATCTAAGTGCATGGTGGTGATGAGCAAGAGTGCCTCTACCAACATTGTGAAATTTATGGCCCCACTGATGGGTTCTGGTGTTAGGGTGGAGCTCTATTGATTATAGATAGTGAAAATACATGAATGAATTCTTTGAAAATCTTCTTCTCTGCTCCTGGGTATTAAATAAGCTAACTAAGTGCATAGTTATGATGAGCAAGAGTGCTTCTACCAAAATTGTGAATTTTATGGCCCCAGGGTCAGGGGTTCTGGTGTTAGGGCGGGGCTCTAAAGATTATATAGTGAAAATACATGAATTCTTTGAAAATCTTCTTCTCTGCTCCTGGGTATTAAATAAGCTAACTAAGTGCATAGTTATGATGAGCAAGAGTGCTTCTACCAAAATTGCGAATTTTATGGCCCCAGGGTCAGGGGTTCTGGTGTAAGGGTGGGGCTCTAAAGATTATATAGTAAAAATACATGAATTCTTTGGAAATCTTCTTCTCTGCTCCTGGGTATTAAATAAGCTATCTAAGTGCATGGTGGTGATGAGCAAGAGTGCCTCTACCAACATTGTGAAATTTATGGCCCCACTGGGTCAGGGGTTCTGGTGTTAGGGTGGAGCTCTATTGATTATAGATAGTGAAAATACATGAATGAATTCTTTGAAAATCTTCTTCTCTGCTCCTGGGTATTAAATAAGCTAACTAAGTGCATAGTTATGATGAGCAAGAGTGCTTCTACCAAAATTGTGAATTTTATGGCCCCAGGGTCAGGGGTTCTGGTGTTAGGGCGAGGCTCTAAATATTATAGAGTGAAAATACATGAATTCTTTGAAAATCTTCTTCTCTGCTCCTGGGTATTAAATAAGCTAACTAAGTGCATAGTTATGATGAGCAAGAGTGCTTCTACCAAAATTGCGAATTTTATGGCCCCAAGGTCAGGGGTTCTGTTTTTTAATTGATAATTGATCAAGAAATACTTTTTGAATTAAATTATATATTAAAGAGTTATCCTTCCTGGCTGAGGATCGTATATCCTTAAATGATTTCATGTTAACATCTGTAAGAATCTGAACTGTTTTCCAGTATGTCACAATTTATATGTGTTTTAATTTATAAATATTGCTTTGTTAGACAGGTTTAATTGAGAACACTTGGAGGCTGCTATGAATGGAGACAAAGCATTGAGAAGCCAGTGTCAAGGTATTTATGTTTATCTGGTAATTCTATTTAATTGTTTAAACACTGTATAAGTTCTTAAAACCCAAACATTTTACAATGAGTACATTTGTTATTTATAAACAGAGATGTGTTCCTGATGTAGATAATTCTAGAACAATGTTGTAATTGACAGAGAGATCTCCCTGACTGAAATCAACACAGGATTATAAAGTCACAGGAAATTAAAGTCTGGTGTCAGGGATGTATAGACTGGAATTACAAAAATCTGTCACAGTGTCTGGGGTTAGTCGGTGTAAACACATTACCCACGTGTTAACAGACCGGGTCTGGATCAGTGATACTGAAGGCAATCTCATCTTAACTAACACGAGAGGTGACATTCTAGATCAAGTGACAGGTTTAAGTCTATATGGTGGTGGAGTACATACTGTGACACAAAATGGTGATGTGATTTATATAGACAGTCATGGTAACATCATTAAACGATCTAAAGATAAAGTCAAGACCACACTGATACCAAACACATCACCATGGGTATCATACTGTGTCTACAGCTCCCCCTTCACTGGAGACCTGCTGGTCGGGATACTTAATACTGATACAGAGACAGGCCAGGTAAACCGTTACAATAACACAGGAGAACACATACAGACCCTACATCCCAACAACACAGGTCAGGAAGTGTATAGATATCCTAGATACATCACAGAGAACCGCAATGGAGATGTTATTGTGTCTGACTTACTCTGTGTAGTGGTGACAGACAGTAGAGGGAGATATCGCTTCTCCTACCCACGTCCTCCATCAGGATTACGACTAGATCCACGTGGAATCTGTACTGACGCGCTGTCACACATCCTGCTGTGTGATGATATAACCCACTCAGTACATATGATTGATAAAGATGGTAACTACCTGACAGAGATAGACAGAGAACAACACGGTATAGACATACCATACAGCCTGAGTTATGATGACATCACCCGCTCTGTCTGGGTTGGATCATACCTCAACAACACAGTGTACATCTACAGACTTATCTATGGAGATGACAATCTGACTGGTAAGTTATACTGAAGTATAATGTTTGTTTACAATGTTTAGTGTGTACAATATATTATAGTCATTGTTTTGTGTGTAATTACAAGACATTAACCAGGAATTATCATAGTGATAACTTTTAAGTGTAAATACATTACATGGTTAATTGAATTCTAACTTGTTGTGTTATGTAACAAGAAATATTTTTAAGAAAGGATATTAATTGATAAGTTGTCAAATTAATAATGATTTGATTTTCATATTAGATTTGATGAGACATGTTAGAGTTATTCTAATGTGTACTTAGTTGTTAACTTTGTTGTCTTTCAAACAATTCCTGAATTTGTACAGACTCTATAATGATTTTTAAATATGGTTAAATAACTCTCATTGATTCTGTCTTCTATTTGGGTTGACATTATATGTCATATTCCTCTGCTAAATGGTTGGTAGGTTAAATTTATAGATCACTACAAATGTCAGGAAATGGAAAAATAATTGTAGAATTGGGGTTCATGAGTGTTGGAAAGGGGGGGGGGGTAATGTCCTAGTTCTTATCTTTCTTATCATTAGATAATATATACTTTGAATGCGTAATTCAATGTGTTAAAACTAAGTTTAATCACAGTGACTGCAAACATTTTGTACAGTATTGACAGTGAGATATAGACACCATTTATCATGTTGATATGAACACAGCTCTGTCTAGGAATGTTGTGTATTTCTGTAGCAGGTGTTCAGTAAATCTACACTGTGTACTGAGGTGACATTTTACATGTATATTACATGAAGATTTTATGGTTAAAATGAAACCAATGCCAGAATTATAGAGTCATATCAGTGTAACCCCCCCTCCCACCCCCAACTTTTCTCACACACACACACACTCCCTCACCCTCTCCCTTCCTCACACACACACACAATTTTTTGGGGGGTAGGTTTGGGTGGGAAGGAGTGTCACACAGTGTCTCACTTTATCATGCTATTTAATCTTTTTCTTTTAAGTACTGTTTTAGTGAAAAAACCCTTTTTGTTCTGTATTTACACAATGCATTATGTTAAAAAGTGAATAATTCTCAGGAACAAAAATGAAAGAAAACAAGCAAATGTGATTTGATGTGGCCCCTGGGCCTCTTGTTAAAACTTCTTAAGGTTGATAAGATGACGCAGTTAGTTTTTAGCTCTACTGGTCAAAGACCAGAAGAGCTTATGCGATAGTAAGGTGTCTGTCGTCCGTTCGTCTGTCCGTCTGTCTAGCTGTCCGTCTGTCTGTAAACAATTTTTCAAAATGCTTCTCCTCCTACAGTTTTGGTCTGATTTCAATATAACTTGGCACACAAGTAGACTTCACGAAGATACATAATTCTGTATATCGGTTTTTGATTTTGATAAACGGTGTTGCCATGGTAACTAAAAATAGAACTTTTGTGAAATTCCTTTATAATGCTACTCCTCCTACAGTTTTAGTCTGATTTCAGTATAACTTGGCACACAAGTAGACTACACGAAGATACATAATTCTGTTTATCATTCTTTGATGTCGATAAAAGGTGTTGCCGTGATAACTAAAAATAGAAATTTCTGTGAAATTCCTTTAAAATGCTACTCCTCCTACAGTTTTGATCTGATTTGAATATAACTTGGCACACAAGTAGACTACACGAAGATACATAATTCTGTATATTGGTTTTGATTTCGATAAAAGGTGTTGCCATGGTAACTAAAAATAGAAATTTCTGTGAAATTCCTTTAAAATGCTACTCCTCCTACAGTTTTGGTCTGATTTGAATATAACTTGGCACACAAGTAGACTACACTAAGATACATAATTCTATATATTGGTTTTGATTTCGATCAAAGGTGTTGCCATGGTAACTAAAAATAGAAATTTCTGTGAAATTCCTTTAAAATGCTTCTCCTCCTACAGTTTTAGTCTGATTTCAATATAACTTGGCACACAAGTAGACTACTTGAAGATACATAATTCTGTTTATCATTCTTTGATTTCGATAAAAGGTGTTGCCGTGATAACTAAAAATAGAAATTTCTGTGAAATTCCTTTAAAATGCTACTCCTCCTACAGTTTTGGTCTGATTTGAATATAATATAACTTGGCACACAAGTAGACTACACTAAGATACATAATTCTGTATATTGGTTTTGATTTCGATAAAAGGTGTTGCCATGGTAACTAAAAATAGAAATTTCTGTGAAATTCCTTTAAAATGCTACTCCTCCTACAGTTTTAGTCTGATTTCAATATAACTTGGCACACAAGTAGACTACACTAAGATACACAATTCTGTATATCGTTTTTTTATTTCAATAAAAGGTGTTGCTGTGGTAACAAAAAATAGACATTTCTGTGAAATTCTTACGAAATACTATCCTCTTACAGTTTTGGTCTGATTTAAATATAACTTGGCACACAAGTAGACTACACTAAGATACATAAATCTATATATCGGTTTTTGATTTCGATAAAAGGTGTTGCCATGGTAACTAAAAATAGACATTTCCCTGAAATTCTTACAAAATGCTACTCCTCTTACAGTTTTGGTCTGATTTCAATATAACTTGGCACACAAGTAGACTACACTAAGATACATAATTCTACGTATCGGTTTTTATACCCCCCGCAAACGAAGTTTAGGGGGGGTATATTGGAATCACCATGTTCGTCTGTCTGTCTGTCTGTCTGTCTGTCCGTCTATCTGTCTGTCTGTCTGTCTGTAGACGAGATTTTGTCCGGACCATTACTCAGAAACTATTGGAAGGATTTGTCTGAAAATTTGTACACATATTATTCACCATATGAACATGATGAAGTTGTGCACCTGATATTTTCATCTTGATTCGATTATTATTTTGAATTTTACAGGTGTTTTTTCATTTTTATTTAGTGGTTTTGTCCGGACCGTTTCTCAGAAACTATTGCAAGGATTAATCTGAAAATTTGTACACTTATTATTCTCCATATGAAGGTGTGCACCTGGAATTTTCAACTCTTTTTGTTTATTTTTTTGCATTTTACAGGTTTTATTTTTTATTTTAATTGACTTGTTCATTTTGGGCTCATGTATAAGGTTTGAGATATAGAATCTAGAATATCTGTACAAAAATACTACAGCTTAAAACTACTCATAAAAACTTAAAAAAAAAAACAAAGAAACATCATCAAGTGTTAAAAACAGTTTTTACATTGCACAGAAGATAATGTAATTTCATTTGTCTCTTGGGAATAATGACTGGACATGCATCCAGTTAAAGATAAATTAATGAGTTTGGTGTTGGAAGTTGTTAAGGCATATCTCTTATCAAGCGTGTGTGTGTTATCTAATCTCCAGGGAATAAGGCACAAGAATTAAAGATCTCTCTTCTCTTATTCTCTTAATTGTAATTTATTGTCTGTCAAAGCACTTCATTACTGGATGACCAGCTCTTTATTTTCAAAATGCATTTCAAATTGATATATCAAGATTAATTTGATTTTGTATAATGGTTTTTTTCAACAATCAGTTTGCAGAGTGACATAACACATAATTGCAATATTTTTTTTTAATGCAGAAATAAAAAAAAAATTAAAATGAAAAAATAAAAAAAAACTAGTAAACTAATTGTTCAGAGAACAATGAGACGTCTTTCCACCTTTTTAAGTGGTCCCGTGTCCTTTGGGTTAAAAAAAAAAAAAAAAAAAAAAAATTCCAAATAAAATGTGCCTCCCGCCGGATTCGAACTCGGGACCTTCAGATTGAAAGGCGAAATGAAAGCACATGGATTTAAACAAAAATAGACACACGTGCGTTTTAAAATAGTACAGAAACACGTGTATTTATTTGTTTGTGATGGAACATAGAGAAGAATAATGAATAGTTCTGAGAAACACGATTGGTGTATAATGGAAATGCCGAATTCCTATTAAAAAAAATCATTTGAGTTTGTTTATACTTTGAATAGATTGAGTTAATCATACAGAGCTTATGATACATTTGAACTTCCGTGTTGGCAATGTGTTTACTATTTATGAAAATATATTTGCATATCCACTGATCTCTCCAACTATGAACCTGCAGGCTTCAACTGCGTTCATAGCACTATAGACGCAACTGCTTCTGCTATGAGTGCAATTCCTCTATCACACTCATGTAGAACAATCTCTACTACAATTATTCACCATGTTTAGAAGTATATATATGAAATGTTGTACAAAAAGAATAAATATGTTTTAATAATATTTATATGATTAATATCTTTAAAAATTTAATTTTGGTCAATGTATTTAATTGTATAATAAAACTTTTTAAAAATTTAGAGAACGGCTATATTTTTATTTTTTCGTATCATGCATATTTGTACAAAGAACGATAACTCTTCACACTTGGGTAATAACATTCAGAAAGAGAAAATTTAACTAGTATATCTACTTCAAGAATGATTTCAGCTATTAAAAATAAATAGAAAATTAAAAAAAAAAAAAATCAAAGAAAAGCATTCTGGAGTAATAATCATTATAAAAGCATTCTCATTTTTCATCATAGATTTAAATTATTGATTTTTGTCGGAGGGTTTCAATAACGTTGATCGATGACGTCACAACTGCATCAAAACAAAAAATTAAGAGAATGTGAAGACGGCGCTGCTTGTATCCAGATATCTGTTTGAGAGGGAAATACTTAATAAATTGTTTGTGATTTATTAGAGAAAAGGATCATTGATCAGGTGTAGTGATTTTAAAGCCGTATGTTTTTCATTACTAAAGACAAGAAGCTGCGTCCTTATGTAAGTCAGGATTTCCTCTGATATTCTTGAAAAACTCAAAGAATGCAAATATAAGTAATAAACAACGATTATTCAGTGAACATGGCATTATGAATAGCAATAGCTCTGCTGGCATATTTTCCACTAGATGCTGTCATGAGACAGTAATACCCGCACTAAGGTGTTTGCCTCTAAATACACGCTCCTACATATTGGGCGGCTTTCCAAAGAAATAGTCAAAATAATTCTATAATTAACATGTTA